TCTTAGTTCTGTTGGAAGATCTGCTAAAGAAGTGGAGAACATTCTTCAGAATAGCATTGGAAGAGTCTTTGAAGAATTACCCAAATATTCCGTACCAAGATTCCAGCGTGTTGTGTGTGATGGGTGTCCTGTCTCATCAAAGGTTCATTATCTCACACCAGCAAAGTATCAAGTCAGATATCCTATAATCAATTGTGAAGTAAACACAACATATCGACCACTGACAGAGAAAGAAAAGAATTGGTTTACTGAGAAAGTAATCATGTTAATGTAGCATATTTTATTATAACATTTTGTTTTAGGTGGAAGCAAAGGACATGACATCAAAGGACAAATTTGGAGCTAAATCTAAACAAGTAAAGCAAGCAATAAACTTATTAATTCAATGAATGTTTTAGGAGGACAAGTCACATGAAGCTTGTGTAATCATGTTAATTTAGCACATTTTAATATAGAATTATTGCTTTTTAGGTGGAAGCAAAGGACAAAGTTAGTAAGAGGGAGCCAATAGATATATTCAAGGATCATTATGCTGATCTCTGTGAGTGTATATCTGCAGATCATATTATTGGGAGAGTCGCAGATCGTTGTGTACCACTGATAAGTGACATTACATTTGATAAAACCATGACTACTGGTATCTCCAACTATGACAAAGCACGTCCACTTATGAAAGAGCTAAAGCTTAATCTCAAAGCATCCAAAGATCAACGCCAGTATTTATTGAAACTAATTAGCATATTCCACAAAATAAATGATCCGGCATTGTCTGAGATAGCTGATGCAATGAAGTCAGAACTCTGAGGTCATCCTAATGACTAGCACTAGTTTAACATACTTGCTGATTATTGAAATTAATTATTACTGAATAATGCTGTAATACTATTACTCTATTAGTACTTTGCTAATCTGTTGGCTTAAACTGCACTAATAAAATGGCTCTGAAAAAGACTAAATCTATTGCAGAATCATACGATTGTAGACTCACTGCTAGCAGTTGGGTTATTCTTCTGTCATTTATTCATTCATGAGTGCAGATCTATAGTCTGATAGTTTCTATAATATTAAGTAATTATATTTTTATAGCAATATTAATTTGGTGCTCCACTGGTAATTTTTTACTCACTATAATCTCACTGTGCAACATTGTATCACAGATTGAGCCATAGACTAGTTTTGAGTGGGCGTATAATTTAATTAATATGCACTGTACTGCTGATGAGTCACTTGTTGAGAGTAGATCTAACTTTGAGTGGGTGTAGAGTTTAATCAACTAAAATAGGTTTACAATGATTATCTACAACTAACTATAGCTAATTAACAATTAACTGGAGCTAATTTGTGTGTTCCTGGAGGCAATGATAGTGTTTTGTAAGTTGCTGACATTATTTTGTTAATCAAAAAAATTAATACAGTTATTTTTCAGGTACATTTTTTGCTTTCAGATCATACTCTCTAGGTATATTTATAAGTAAAAATTCTGTTTTAGCCCTGGGAGTGGTCATATTATATTCAGAAGCACTGTTACTCTCTCAGTTGAAATCAGGTCACAGGAAGCCTCCCCTTCCTCTTCATTTTGATGGACCCAAACCAACCGCCTCACCGAGAGAAGGTAACATTAGCCTGGTATCAGTTATCATGATGATATGTGTCTTTACCATTAGAGTTTCAGTCAGGTTGTGTCCAGCACATGAAGGAGTTAAGAGGAGGGACCAGTTTAATTGATTATTGTTTGAATATGTCTACCTTACTTGAACTGGGAGAAAAGAGAAGAGAATATTTAATGGGAGGGAGCAAAACAGAGCAACAAGAAAGGTACTAGCTATTGAGAAATTTCACTTGTCACTACATATAATTTTTACATATTTTTGTAATCAGAAAATGTAATATTTATTATGAAATTATTAACAAAACATGTGCAATCTTTTTGTAAAATTTATATACAATAGCCAGGGGCGTATGTAGGATTTGGAGAAGGGGGTGCTGAGGGCGCGCCGCGACGTTGGCCACACCCACTTTTACGGCGGTAAAACGGCCTTTTCCTGCATTTTCGTCAATTACAGGTGGGGCCAAGATCATTTCAAGCATACTGTTACTGGTACTTCTGATTGCTCCTGGAAACTGCTGAAATCATGATAAGGGGGCTAGATAACTT